ATATTTGTACGTTACTTAAAATCTCTTTAATTAGTGTCTGATCGTTTTCAAAAATGAAAACATTGCATTTGGTGAGTACTATCTTAATTTTTTTGCATTATATGCAATTAGTTTAATTCTTCGTTTGGTTAGAAACGTATCAAACACTTCTTTGCCACAGGTCCATGTTAAAATTTTTCCTGCGCTAAATATGTGAAAACTCTCTTGATTTTTCATGCTTATTTATTTACATAATATTTTTAAATTGTCGAAGTTGGTGTATATTTCAAATTGTGTAAGTTGACTTGTATATTTCATTGGTGTGAGTCAATCGCACTATAATAATCTTTATATGTTTAGTTTTCACCAAATGTAGCGGCGATGAAATTGTTTCTGCGGTTATCCACCTGTTCTCGAGAGCAGCGTTTACTGCCGAAATCTGATCAGGTTGTCGTGCTGTGCATTTTCATGTCGACTGTGACACGGTGGTGAAATGCACTCCTCCCGTTCGGACGGCCGACGTCAGATTGCAAATGTCATTCATCATCCGTATCTGCTGCAATTCACACCGGACGCCTAAGCTAATTGCTATGTGTTGCGGCCAGCTCTAATTCGGCCTCTTCCTTCATTCGGCACCAGTATCAATCACTACCCCTGCATCACTGTTGGTCATATTTCTCCAGGGTTCAACCTACAAACCACTGAGATACATTCACTCCTCTGACACGAGAATAGTATTAATTCGAAGAATAAATGCAAAGAATATTTCCCTTTTTTATTCACGACTAATAATTACTGCAATGTAACGATTCAAATATAACACACGCTTGGTCTCTCATTCAAACCACATGCATTTAAATTGTACTTCTGTGTAAAATAGTGTCCTCTTACACACTTCAATATTTAATATTGCGAAGAAAGTACTTTCAATACGTAGTTCGTAGTTCAACCGATATGTTATTGCATTGTTATTTTTCTGATTACTCTAGTCAACAGTAAAAATCTTCCCTACTAGAAAATTGCCATTTATGATTAATTTGATAAAGGAAAAACCAAAAATAACATTTATAGCTCTTGGTTTTTATATCTAAGTTATGAGGTTTTACGAAATCTAACGCCTGGACGGTTGGCACATATGAGCACAACCGAGATGTGTTATTCGTATTTTTATTATTCTGTATAACTTGTTTCAAGTATGGAATTATATTGAGATATTGCGTTGATTTTAGATTGTGTGCAACTGTAAGATTTTTCTTATTCTCAAATAAATTTGGTTTATATTTCAGTATACATATAATCCAGGATGCCACGAAATTGTCAAAACTCTCCTGACAATTTTTCATGTTTGTTGTAAAATGACATTTGATTTCCAGAAACGTCGAATTACTCTAATCATAAAGACAGCATATAACCTCTAGTTTGGTTTGTAATAAGGTGATCTGAACAAGTCCTGGGAACCGCATACAGTATGCAATACAAGTGCTGTAAACCTACGTGGATAGTTAAACAATAAAGTACGCTCAATGCCGTTGTCCTCCCAAAGATTTGTAGAGAGCTTTCATATCACATAAACTATTTTCCATGAAACCCCCTCCATCATGGCATGTCCACAAACTGGCGGACTGCAGACTGCCCCAACATCCCATCAGCCATTCGACCACATGGAGACGGTCTGCCTGTCTGCCTGACTTCTCCGGAAGAATACTATCAGCAGTCAGAAGACTGAGAAGGGAAGAAATCACCTCATCCTTCTCCACAGGATAAACTCCTTTACTGCAATGTTTTTTTTAACGATTTCAAATATAACACGTGCTTGGTCTCTCATTCAAATTACACGCAAATATCATTCTCACCTGGACTCCCCCTACTGCGGTCTAGAAGTGACGAACATGGAGAGTAATTCCATCAGGACATTTCGCAAACGGAACGAAGGTTTAAGAGGAAGTGGAACACTGCTACGCTTGAGGATTACTGATGGACAGTGACAAAAGAACACACAGAAAAGGAGTACAAGGAAACAAGCAGAGAAGACGTTCACGTGAATGAGACCTTTTATTTTAGGATAATGAGCCATAAAATCTGAGTTGGCCCTACTAAACTATTTATTTCTTGTTTCTAACTTACCTTAGTTATTAATAATACTGTTGTTCCATTCACTACATAATAAAATACGTCACGAAAGATTAAAGAGAGGAAGGGAAAGGATGTCTTAGCAAAATATGCTTTTTTATTGACTATACATTCAATTTTTTTTACTTCTTCTCCAGTTACAAAAGTTATGTAATTCTGTACCGTACAATTTTTACTTTACTCGAATCAAATTCTTTGCTTATTTCGCTACTGCTTTTTCTCATCACTTAGTACATTCATTTCGTAGTTTCCAAAGTTTGCATAATACAATGTGCCACTTTGTAGATCCAAAAGCCAGCATGCGACTTCGATTCGTTTATGTTTCGCGCATAATAACTCTTTACAATAAGTATCAACTATTTCAATTCTCAATATTACCAATCTTTAATATGTAGGTAAGATGTACCGTTTTTTAACATTGCATTTATTAAAACCAATGGAATAAAATATAATACCACGGTAAAGATAATTTATCTAGTCTCTCCTAATGTCGCTCGTGAGATAATACCTTCCTATCGAAGATAAAGTATCTCTGTTTTCTAGTTTAATAAATTATTGTTTTTGCTTTCCATTAGCATTTTATATTGTTGCAGTTATTGATGAGCATTAACAATAAAATTGTATTCCAACATTATAAACGACCTGTTTTGTTGCAAGAAACAGTTCTTAATCGGGCATTTTACGGCAAAAGTGATGATGTATTAGATGTTACGACACGAATGATTGTGTTATCACACATTCAGCCAATCGCAGTAAACGAACAGCAGACGACAGTTTTCTAGTACAGATGTCAAATACCCGAGACGTCACAAGAAACTTGTTTCGCAAAATTTGATTCTCTTTTAAATTTATAATACCATTATTAAAAAATAGCGTATGCAACTCGTTTATAATGTTCCTTTATTGCTTTCGAACAAATTTGAAAACACTACTAACGTCGCTCGTTTTCAAAATATGTACTCATGCAATAAAGCTTAACATTACAAACTAATTTCATAAACTGCTTTTAGTATTAAACTAAAAATAAAACATGCGCTTTGCAAAGTATAGTATTAGCATTCATGTTGTTGATACAATGTGATGGAAGTAAATCAGTTCAACTAAATATTTCTCCTGGCAGTGAACGTATCTTACACGAAGCTCATTCATTCGTATTCCAGAGCCAGCGAAGAGACGGCGCCTGCGCCGCCGCCGACCACCGCGCGGCCGAGCGCCAACGCCACTGAGGAGGGCGAGGAGGGCGCTGCGGAGGACGGCGGCGGTGAGGACGCGGGCTACGGCGAGGCCGAGGAGCTGAGCAGCGCACCTGGCCCTGCCGCGTGCGCCGTGCCGGCCGCGTGGCGCATGGAGGTCCTCTACGACAAGACCCCGCACGCCCGCTGGATCGCGGGCGCGCGCCTTACGTACGTGGCCACACCGTTCGTCTCCTCCAGCGCGCCTTGCTCCTAACTTTTCCTAGTCTTTCTTCTCTTCTCGGCTGGTCTCATGCCCTCACGCACCATTTTAGGCCCTACCTCTTAATATGTACTTCTCTCACAATGTATTAAAGAATATATCAAAAATTGTTATTTACTTCTATTGAACCTTTCAGTTAAATCACTAAATCATCTCACAATTTAATGCATTCTGCTACATATCATCGGGCACTTCTTAGAAATGAGTGTATTGTAAATTGAGAATTGTAAATGAAACCAAAGAAAAGCGTATTTTTTTTTTGTTTTTTTAAATCTTTTTTCACAGTCGGAGGATCCAGAGGGCCACTTATTTATCCCTTCACTCCTAATTACGTTTATTATATTATTAGTATATCTCAAGTTAGACTTCTCCTATTGACTTGCGCTCTGTTAATTTGAATTAATATGACTTAATTGATCACCAAGTCAATTGATTTTTTGAAAATTTACCAATCAAATAAATAATGATCTCCTTTTCATGTATACGTACTGTCAAATATGAACTTGAGAGCAACATGATGTTAAAATTTGTTTGATTTAAGTTGCGATTTACCACCAATTCATTACTTATCACAGTTAATTAAATTCAAATGAATGTCATCTGGAAAACAAAGACTTCTATTTATTACTCATGCAGGGAATATATTACCGCACTAAGGAATGAAAATCTTCTTAACTTAAAAAAAATACTTGTTAGAGTTGCACCCAGCAATTCCAGAGAGTATGACCCAAATCCTGGGTATGACAGCCTCCCTTAATGCCCCGTGTGTCGCTTGCGCTCGTTAATCGTGCCCTCGGCTGATTGCAGGTGGGAGGAGCACGTGTGGAAGGCACCGGTCGATGACGAGTCCCAACGTTACTCACTGTGGTCGTCGGTCCTGTTCTCTCGAAGACTGCCGCCAGAACCACCTCTCTCGAGGTAAGTGGTCTCCATGCAATAAGCGCCCCATGTTCATTTTATTTCAATTACAGTTATTTTTGATTTATATCTTACAAACATTTGAGAAATATAGAGAGTAAAGCTCTAAAGAGTCAATATTAGTGAGTAATATTCCTGGTGATGCTGCTGGTTGTGGTTGGCCTCCTCATGGCAGCCGCCCTGGGATGTCTCGTCACCATAACGTGAAACATTTATGAGTTCAGACGAGAATAGTTACATTTAGAGTTTTATGTTGATTGTGATTACAATTGGATTCTTTAACGATGAAATAGTGCCATGTGTACAAATCGTGAACGAAGGTGGGATACACAATCTTGCTGAAAGATGTCCACTTCAACAATTGACTTCATATTTAAGAGACTTTATCCACAGAGAATTGAATCTAAATATCTTTATTGATTACAATGGTACCTAAAGAGAATGAACCACGTGGATCTTCTTGTCAAGTCCTTCTTAACAGTCGCATGCCAATTGGGGAGAGAGTCAACCATGAACCCCAGCGTATTTTTTTCCTCTGTGTTTTGGTAAGGAGTTTACTGATTCATCGTTTAGGACTTTTATCGCAATGTTATTTTAGTATCTATCGATAGATAACAGTTGTACAATCAGATCAACATAGTGAATGTTACATTTGTTCAAAAATAGGACATCGACATTCGTGTCCACGCGCAAAAAACAACAAATACGAAAAAATGTCCAAAATAGAAATGACGTTACAAGACAAGAACTGAAAAAAATGTAATACAAATTGGCAGAAAATGATTTTAATATAGTGCTAAATACTTAAGGCAATATAATATTGTATAAAATAATTTTAGTTATATAAAATTTTTCTTGTATTATTTGGGTTCCGCTGTTGGCCTTCCCATTGGTGTTCTCCGGGTACGGGACCAGCGTAAGCAAGCAAGCGTGTCATTTTCCTCTTCATTTGCGCGTGGCTTGACGTGCGCGGGCGTGCGCAGGTTCTGGGCGCGCGTGCTGTCGCCCGAGGGCGCGGAGTGGGCGTGGGCGAACGCGTGGCGCGCGCTGCGCGAGCCGCTGACGCCCGCCGACGTGGCCGACCTGGCGCTGGTGCTGCTGCTGGCGGCGCTGGGCCTCGCGGCGGCCGCCCTGCGCTGCCTCGACGCCGACTGCGCCCACTGACGCCTCCGCCCAGCTGGCCCCTCCGGGCGACCCACCTCCGCTTCACAGTGGACCGACTACTGCCCTTTATCGGAGGTGTTGACTGAATTTGTAAATCATTAGATTTACAGTTCAAGGGGTCGGGGCGGGATAGTGCCTATCCACTAGAAATGTTTGTCAGGAATAGAAAAATATTAAAGTTTCCTTTTATTCAAATATCTCATAGTTTAATAGACTTCTTGCTACTTTAAATACGTGTAATATGTTTCTATCAACGCATTTGGACAACGTTTCGACCATAATGTTTGATTTGGAGAGACATTCTAAAATCTTTATTTTAGATTTATGATATGAGGGTTGTGACTATATTCCTCCGACCCCTTCATTTTATTTTATTGCCTCTTTCTTTCATAATATGTAAAAAAATACTGTATTGTGGTCTTGATAAATCTTAAAGTTGAAAGCAAACATTATGATTTGCAATTGCACTTTTAGTGCTTGGGTTTTTGGTATAGAAACTACTATACTGTATCTTGAGGGAATTGAAATGAATTTTACATTAATATATTTTCGTCCAGAGTATTTATTGAAAAATAGTTTGAATGATCAGAAACATATTTTTGTGAAAGTGGAAGAAGCTGTTAATATTTACATGTAATAAATATGTATTTTTGAAAAGTTACTCCGGATAATTTTCAATGTCCTAATGACTAAATATTGGGTCGATATATAAGCTGTGTATTATTAACAAACGTTAAATCTGTCAAATATTAATAGTACAGTTACAGTGTGTTAATATCAGTATTATGACTGGACAGTTAAATCACTAACGTAAAAAGAAAATCACTGCAATGCTCAAATAGATATTTCGACCATTTCGTGTATTGCTCAAGTTACCTCAAACTAACCCACTTATCCGTCGTCTCGCTCTTACTCCACTTACCCTCAAATCACTTTGAAGCGTCGGATCTGCGTTATCAAGGTTTTGTGGTACCCCTTTCTTTTCTATGGAATGTGAAAGTCCAGTTTGACCAAAAGACAAGCTTTTACTGATCTGATGGTAAATTTACATACTTTGATGAAAAATAATGTTTGTCTGAATGATAAGTACTTTTTAACTAACCTCAAGTTTGTATATTCAAATTCTATGGTCTTTAAAGAAGCGTGATTTATTGAAGACTTAATTATGTTAATGAAGCAAATGTACTGATGATTATTGCATGGTGTGTTTTTTAGAATATTGCTCAAAATTATGTTTGTTTGTTTTCTATGAATATTGAATTTCATGAGAAATTAATATCCGTTGTTTGTGTATAAATGCACTAAGACTGTGTAGAATTAAAACATTTTATGAAGCATCATATATTGAAATAATGAAAATTTGATCAGGACTTTGTGATTATTATTTTAGTGCATTAACTAATATTTGACGAAAAGTACAAAATGCAGCGTATAAATGCAGCAATTTTTTTTTGTTAACAGCTATTCATTCATACACTCTTTATATCTAAATATAGCACGTGTATCACATATTTATACTTATTTTAAAATATTTTATCTTTTACACAAATAAATGCTTGATTGTTAACAAAAGTGTGCCTTCAAAATAATTGCCAATGATAAAAGAAAAAGTATATACATAATACAATTGAAATATTGCAGAATTATAAAGTATTGTAAGCAATAATTAATTTCTCGTGTGTCTCACTGAGTTTGGAAAATGAAATGTATTTTTAAAATGAAATGGAATAAATTAATTTTCAAAAGTCACTTTGAAATAATAATTTACTGTGTAGTAGATGATTAGATAAACCTTTTAAAATGGTAAGTTATGTGTACAAATTCCTTTGCACAATGTCTTGTCATATGTACAAACCTGCAGGCTGTGAAGCAAGTGACATTTGTTAACAAATTTTAAGGAATAACCTTATATCCATTGACATATCGATATATTTTAATGAATGACCTCTTATCAATTCCTTTTATCCCAAACGAATTTTTGTTTTGGGACCTTAAACCAAAACAATTTGCAACTCAGTTTTTGGTATGAGATTATAATAGTTCTGAAAAGATTACATATCTTATTTAGCTACCAGATCATTAGCATATAAGAACTTTTGGACTATAAGAAATATCTCCTTCTTCGTTAAAAGAATTCTTAAAATCTCATATTTATTCCCTTGCTGACATTATTGTAATTTTGTAGAGTATCAGTGCAAAAATAATGTGTATAAAAGTGATGTGTGTGAAAGTAATGTGTATAAACCTCTATAAAAGTGATGGAAATATTATCTACACGGTACATTTTTAACTGTAATTGCTTATTAGTGATTTTACATGAAATTTAGATTTATGTAGTCAAAAAACAGTAAACACTGTGACGTATGGGGAGAGAAGACCATCTGCGCACGTTTTCTGGAGTTACAGAACCCTTTCCCATCATTTTCACTATAAATAGTTGAAGGATGAGTAGAAGTCAAAGATAAATAAAAATAAATTTTAAAAAAGCGAGAGATTAGTAACATTTGAAAAAATAGACATTTTTGTTCCCGAGTTATAGAAAACTTATTTGCTACGGTAAACAAACTGCAGGTTTGATTTTTCTGCATTGCTAACAGTAACAAAATAGTAACTCCACTCCAACCACTACAAGCAAAAGGAGATTTCAACAAAACGTGCGCATAGCGAAGCTACATTTACGTTCAGAAGCAAAACAAGGGGCCATCTCCTTTTATCACCATCAATGTATCAGGGAAACTGGACAAAAAGCTGATCGAGATGGGAGTAATTTAAGGAAGGAAGCTAAAGTACATTACACTAAGACACTTCAATACCCAAACCTACTTTAACCTCACTGTGGATGTAGATCGCGATTGAACGCGACATGGACAAATCCACGACAGGTTTCTGGGCTTTGTGCTACCGCAGGCGGTGGCTGAGCCAAGCATGTTTAGAGTATTTAGCGTTACATTCCATAGCGTCGTGAGCAAAACACAGAATTCTCACGAAAGGTGAAAGACGAAGATTCATGTCAAAGAAATTGCCTGAAACAAATATACTCATATGTTTTGCATGGTGTGTTGTGCTGGATGTACCATCAGGTTGAGCTTGGGAACAACGCATTACAAACGCAAAAAAACAACGCAAAAAAAGTAAGCCTAACCCGCCCACATGTGGACGCTCGTTTGTTTTCTGCTTGTCATGTTTGCCCTTCCTTGCAGAAAGCCATGTCATTGATCTGTCTAACATTACTTTACAAACAATTTTACTATGCATCCATATTTATGAGACTTTAATACAAACGTCAGTAGCACTTTAATAGAAGTTAACAGGGGTTGCGTTACAATATGGGTATATTCCATGAGTCTACAATGTATTTGCCTACGTCCAGGTGCACGGCTTGCCAGAAGAGGAAGCTGGAACTCGAACAACATTTTCTATCAGACGGCTGTTCCAAACCTGATCGGTGTCACTGCGTACTGACGGCGGTGAATGGAAGGAATGAAAACGATACCGAGAGCCTTTCAACGAAAGATACAAGTCGCATAGATGTCGGTTCAAAGCGTCGCGTCGTGGGAATTCCGAGAGGAAAGGAAGAGAGCGGGTCTAGATCTTGCTGCTGTAGTCGCTGCCTTCGGGCGCCGCGCGCACCGGGTGGCGCTTCTTCTCCGAGTGGCCCTTGGGCGCCGACTCGAGCGCGGCGGTGGCGGCGGCGGCGGCCGCCGGGTTGGACGTCACGCTCAGGCCGCTGCTGGCCTCCAACTCGCGCACGCTCGCCTGCGGACACGCGCACACCCGCCAGCACCCCTGCTACAGAGCTACCCTCACTATTTCACGTGATAAATTTAACACGTAATATATTTTGCACGTTATATATTTCATAATATATTTACACGTATTACTATATTACGTGTAAATATTTTACACGTAATATATTTTACACGTAATATATTTACACGTAAAATTTTATATGAACAATTTGAATGATTCTGTAGTAATGATTACCAATTGTATAATTATAAGGTAATGTTATATCAGCAAATTATTAAGTAGATAATATCAAAATTTCCTATGACTAGGTTCTGTTAACACCGATATGCTCTTTCACAATAAATCCTCTCTTTCATTATTTCAGTAGCATAGATGAGTTTTGCGGCTCTCATACGTAGTCAATTTTTATAAATGATGTCTCTAAAGAAAGATAATTGTATAGAGACAACGAATTGCACTCTAACTTTAAAAATATGAAGGCTTTGTTTAAAAAAAAACGCATCTAAATATTCATGTCCAATGCAACCTGCAATACCCAGGCCGCATTGTTGAACTTTGTATAATTATAAAACTCCAAAAGAAAGCGTTTTAGAGCATCAACACCTGACAATTTGAGATCTTTTTAAGGGCTAAAAATCCTTCGTACGCGTGCGTTCAAGTGGGGAAGTAAAGCTCTTTGCCCCATGATGTAGATTTGCTACATCAAAATCATCGAGTCCATAAGAAACATTTGAGCTAAATTCAGATCACCTGTTTCGTCGCCCCAGTGATACCTTCTTACGTTGCTAGACGGAGAAACGAAATTTGCGTGGTCAGTCGGAAGAGCAGGCTTCATGGTCTGAGTCTCGCCACATACAATAAGGCTTCATTGAATTGAATTGAATTAAATCGAATTGAATTGTCCTGGAGTGGCGTACCTGGAAGCCCGCGCGATACCCGCGCCAGAAGCACGACCACATGGCGTTGAGGAAGGCGGCCTCGTTGGTGGCGGAGAGCGCGGCGATGAGGCGCGGCGAGCACTCCTTGAGCGCGTTGAGGAAGGCGCAGTGCAGCGGCGACGTGCGGCTGGTGACGGCGGCCGTGGTGGCGAGGGCGGCGGGCGCGGCGGAGGCGCGCAGGAGGGTGGCGGCGGCGGCGGCCACGGCGGCGGGCGTCCCCGCGCCCGCGCCCGGCCCCACGCTCGCCTCTGTGGCGCTCTCCGAGTCGCCCGTCTTGCCCTTGACCTTGCGCCGCGCCACCCGGCGCCGCGCCGCCGCGTCCTGCGACGCCACGCTGCCCTCCGCCGCCGCCGCCGCCACCAGCCGCTCTGCCTCCCACACACGCCCGCCAAGCTCAGTGGGCTCTAGCGGCGTCTTTTTACTCGCGGGGGGAAATACGTTTAGGGGAGAAACTAGTTCAAACTAAATATTTTTTTTTTCAGATATCAATTTAAGGATACAATGGCTGATGGCATGAACACGCAAGACGTCGTATGGCGTTCATCGATTCAAGACGTATAGTGTTGAATGAAGTTCCGTGTCCGCAGCAAGCTCGGCAAGCTCAGTGGGTTCTAGCGGCGTCTTGTAACTCGCGGGTAGAAATACTTTGGGGGAGAAAGTCGTTCAAATTACAGAGATTTTTTCAAGATATTCATTTTAAAGAAAGTATCGGCTAATGATCTCAATATTATGTATGTAACATCAATGCAGGACGA